CGGAAAGCCCTCAAATATTAGGACCAAGCCAAGCAGCCCAGCCCATCAGCAACTCAAAACAATATCGAATTGTAACTGAACATGGCAAACCTCATGTAACTGAACTGAGGTAACAGGCCAACTGCTAGTATAATTAAACAAAAGAATTAAGTTGCAGAAATTGATTTCTGGCTACAGATGTACAATTTACTGTTTAAGTTTAGTGTAGACTATATAGCAAGATGATAAAAGCTTCCTGAAATGCGGCATAATAGGAAGCATCACTCAATACTTGGAGAATACAGTACAGAACTGCTACAAGCCTACCATGCACAGATTTTTGGGCACGAAGATATTAGACTCTACTTCATGTACTACATCTGAAGGTTGGGTCCAAATACCCCTATAAATCCAAATACCCCTATAAAAAGATATCCTACATATCATGAAAAAGCCGCCGAATTTGCTCCACTGTCGCAGGCATCAAGGTGACTGGGCAGCGCTTGTACTGTATTTGCACGAAGCGAAGAATGTAGGTATTAATGTGATAATTCTATTCAACATTTAATGAACATGTTCTGCAATTTTACCATGATCAATAAACAGGTATGGAGAAACAAACCTGAGAGACGTATTTAAATATGCAAGAATAACAAAACACAAATCCTGAAACAGCCACAGCTGATGGATTTACACGCTTTTGTGAACACAAAGGGCATAACGTTCTATCTGGAGGTAGTGGAATTCCCTCCTTTGCAACCTGTTTCAAAATGAAGCAATAATCTGTGTGAATATCAAATTTCTCAAGAAACACAATGTGCATAAAGTCCTTCATACTTTTTCATTCGTGTCCTTTTCTTTCATTTTTTTTCAATTTGTGTAAGAAACCTTATCATTATAGCATTTCTGCACCTATGATTGTTATTTTTTTTTCATTTATTACCATCAATGGTGCCCCCATGCAAAAATTTCCCAAGACTTGGCAATGGGTGAGCCACACGTGTCAGATAGGAATAACTTCACTATGGGAACTATTCATATGAAACATAACAATTACTGCACCTTTCTCACGAGTCACAAAAGAATGTCCTACATGCAAGAAAATATAAAATCTTAACAAGCCACCAACCGTTTGTGGAACTTCCTACACATTAAAAGAAAATAACCTCACCTTTGGGGGAGGAGGAGGTGGTGGTGGGGGATACACTGTTGGAGCAGACATTCTCTCCTCAGCAGATTGGTACCACCATTCCATCATCTGACATTCACATCAATAATGAAAAGTCATGGATTTTATTTGCCATCTTGTGTGGAAATCTGTGTGTCTTTGAGAGAGAGAGAGAAAGAGAGTACAGGACAATAATGGAAAAGAAAATACAGCTAATAAGATGCATGATTCAACATAATCAAGTCTGAAACCAACAGAGTTTTTAATATAATGAAAAACAGACCCCAATGAAGGGGACTTTAAAATAAATAAAGAAGAATATGAAACCAACAGAAAAATCAAATGAACCAATGATGATAAGACAATGACATGAAGATAAAGAAAGAATCAAATAAAGTTGCTAATGCAGGATTTGACATAATCTCGGTGAATTGCACTTACTTTAAAGAAAAATACTGCAGCAATTAAACCAGTTTGTGCATAGTCAAGAACTGCATACATACTGCTTAGAAGTGCACCTTGCACTGCCTGAAATGCAAATAGCCAAGTTATTGATCATAGAACCTTCAAAATAGTCATTGAATTTATAGTTTCAAAAAGATGACAACCACTAGAATCTTAGAGCCAAATTTGTTGAGGTTCAGAAATATGATAGATAACATGATAGGCATCTACATGCACAATGCTTGAATAACCATGGTAACTGCTCCACATAATCTCAGACTATTAACAATATTCAAAGTATCAGCATAAAACCATTAAGAAATATGGAATCACATACCTTCAGCCAAGGGGGGCCACGGAGTCTCTCACGTTCGCGGCTCCTGATTTTAGAAATTCTTGAAGATGTATCCATCTACCTTGTCAAAAGAAAGTGCCCATGCTCAAAGAAATGAAAGGAAATAAGTAGAAACATAACTGAAATCAGTCCATCATAAATGCACTGCTAGGTCCTAAAAAAAGGTTTAAAGATGGCTCAACTGATTCAACTAACATCTACAAGTATGTCGAAGAGTGGTTTGATTGAATAAATAAACACTTTCTCCATTTTAAATACAAATTTTCTTACTTGATCTTTTCCTCAAACTACCAGCTTTGTGGAGATAAATATAAGACTTATATGAAAATGCACCTAGTCAAGTGTCTGATAGTTAAAGAACACATAGAAAAAAAATTTAAAGTAAGCAACATTCATGGTTTGGAGATATGCATGAATTTCCATGCAAGATCCTATATAAGTATAGATTACCAAGTTGTAAACTGATTTAGATAGCAAAGTTAGTCCACAGACAAGAAGGATGACAATAGATCTAATAGATCAGTACACATGATACATATCTAGAATAAGTACCAGCTCCTGCCCTGTAGCTCGACAAACATGAATCCCTAAAACGTGTAATCCTAAAGAGTAGAACCCAGTAGCATCTAGTAGATACAAAAGCTGATAAGCAAAAGACAATCCTGCAAAGAAAAAACAGGTCAATTAGAGGAAACTAAATTCATATCATTTGTCACAGCTTATGGAAGATGGTCTTATGGAAGATGGTCCAAAGAATAATTACAACTCCATCCAAAAGAAAAAAGTTCCCGCTCCTTACCAAGCACGCCTTTTGGTGCCATTTTCAGTAGAAAACTATTAAATTCATCCAAGTGTAAAGTGAAAACATTTTACTTTGTGGATGCGGAGTGGGTGCATCCAATAATTAAACAAATTAACAAGCATGCATTGCCATGAGCTCAGATTCCTAAGTCCTAGCGTAGCAAGGTTTGGAAAGAGCAAGACATAGATTGGCATAAGCACACAGATAGAACATGAAGAAGGCGACAGCATTAAATCCAAGTGAAGCTTAAGCAAATCTAGAATAAGGAGGAAAAGCCAGTGAATTTTCAACACCCAAACTACACATAAATGAGACTAGCATTAACCTTCACTTCCAGCGTGTATCCACGGGTAGCAAGCAGCTATAATCTTCTGTATTCTCTTCATGACGCATCTTCTCGTGGTAGATGCTTCTTCACCAGAACTGCTCCCAGAAGCTGAGGAATTTCCACTTCCATCAAAGTAGTCTATGTTGCCAAATCTTTCCTCACCCTCACCCCATAAGCTCGCTTGAAGTGTAGCTTCCCTTTCTCTATTGTATACATACTGCAATTTGGACCTAAAATACGGCAACACAACCTACACAACGTTTATCTAACTCAGAACACAGTAAACAAACTCTACTAAAAATAAAAAAAAGCCAGAAGCTTGCTTGAGTGTCAAAAAGGAAGGATCTTTGACAACAGAAACATATCCAGCATTAAAAAACGACCAATCGAGAGTAATGAGAACAACCGATAAAAAAAAAGGGCTTATTTCAAAAATTATGAATCGTCACATAGACAAAATTCTTCTCCATTATGCAAAACATGAAGTAACTGAATTTAAGGAGTGCCAAAAGAAAACGAAACAATTACCAAAACTACAACAGAGAGGATTTTCTGGCGTTTCTCTAAGCCATTATGATGAATTGCGTCAGCAGGGGAATCCAATGGCAAAATCTTCTTCTTGCTGTGAATATTATCCTTTGTTTTTACTTTAATATTAACCGCTCTTCTTCTCAACCCATAAAGAGACTCGGCAAAAGAAGCATCGGTTGTTCTCAAGCTGTGGGTTTCCAAGACAAGCATTAGCAAAGCGAAGAATTCATCCTCATAGTCCAGGATTTTGTGAATAAAGGGTCTTCTTAAAGCCAATACCTACAAAACAAAACAAGCCCAGTTACTGAATTAAAACAAAAAAGAAGACAAAAAAACAAGAATTTTGATGAAAATTGAAGAACCCAAATGGAGTTTGAACTTTGAGTAGCTTACACCGAGAGAGTAAGTGAGAGCAGCACGAAGACTAGACGGGAGCTGTTGGGCAGCGGCCATTTCGAAGAAGGTGGGACGAGTCCCTTGTCCTCCTACCTGAAACAACATCCCTCCTCTTTACTTTCTTTCTTTAACTCTTCCTCAACTTGCCTCCTCCTTCTTCTGGTTTTGCCCTGCTTGATTTTTCGGCTTGGGTATGCCAGTAAGAGAAAAGTGCTGGCCCTCAACGGGTGAGAGGCTGGAGCACAGAAACGGGGAAACGGGGGATCCACTCTCGAGGCTTCAACCAAATTTTTGGCACGAGTATTGATCCCAAAAGCAGCATCTACTCGTAGTCTCGTATTAAACTTTCTGTACGGCCAAAAAAATTATTTATTTGCATTATAAACAAAATTTTCAATATACTTTTTTAATCATTATTTTTATCTCACATATATAATATTATAGTAATTATTTTAAATAATCTCTTATCCAAACTCAAGTCTGCATACACTGTCATAAAGAATCCCTTAAAATTTTGAAAACTGTATATATATTCCCTTAACTTTAGAATCAACTAAACAAAGTAAATTAATCCTTTCTCTTGTTTTCATTTTTTTGTATGTTAGCTTGGGTTAAAGATCCAATTCTACTTCTCTCGTTAATATCCAATTATATGTCATTTAAGTTTGAAACTTCTCACTTACACTTAAAAAAAAAAAGTGTTATACAAAAATTCACAATTCAATAGCCGTTTAAAACTACAAAATATGAACTACCTTGAAAAAATAACTCTAATCCATCAATAAGTTTTAGAATGCACATTGATCTTGCTAATACAAAACTAAAATTAAAAACTAATATAGCTGCATTTCATTAATCACCAATGTGGCATCAAATTTTCATATGTGTAAGTGATAGTGAAGTTGTATACATGAGTGAATACATTTCATCTCTTTTCTTGGAGGAGCAACTAAATTGGTGAGATTTCCTATCAAAATCAAGATTAGTGACATCTCTCATGACGACATTGAGAATGGACCTTTGTCACTATGTGCGACCAAAAAGGCCTAAGACAATGATCTCCGGCCCAAAAGTCATCAGCCCAACCAATCAGCATTCCAACTTCCCAGTCCTCCGTCTTCGAGTGTTCGCCGCCGGCTAGTTAGCAACCATGGCCAACACAGTCCGCGTCGCTGCCGCTCAGATGACTTCGATCAACGACGTCGCCGCAAACTTCGCCACCTGCTCTCGCCTCGTTAGAGTACCTTCCTCCACTGACCATTTTTAGTGTTATTTTGCTTTACTTTTTAAATTATTTACTGTGCAACGAGTTGACTTTGAGGACTCTCCGTTGGTTCTGCAGCGAATGGAAAATTCAAAACACAATAAGAACTAGGATTTTTTTTCTCGCTTTGCTTTCCTTTCTCTCTCTCTCTCTCTCTCTCTCTCTCTTTTTTTTTTTAAATTGGAAACGGATGTGTACCTACTTTATTCCTAAATGTAATTTTTTTAAACTAAATTCCTGCGAATGGTTGTATTACTGGGAATTTTCTTGATTGGACTATTATCTGAGGGTGTTGAATAGCTGCCTCTAAAAGTTGTATGTGCTGAATATAGGCTATAACGGAGGGATTTGTTATGACCAATGAACACGAAAGCACAAGAGGTCTTTATTTGAGGTATTTGGTTTGGATTCTAGTTTTGGAAAAGAAAAACACATAACATAAGAAAGAGCTTCAGCCCTGCTGTTTCCTTGACTTGGTGCTTGTGCATCCCCAACATAAACTAATACATAGTGGGATTTTTGGTGTGAAACGATTGTTAACTCTTAAATTGTATGCAGGGGATTATAATTGAAAGAAGAGTTGCAAAATAGATGAATCGTGGTTTAAGTTTGATCTTGCCACTTATGTGCTAGAGTGTGAAGTTATGGCTATGATCACACGTCGGACTAGTAATGAAGCTTGGTTTGTAACTTTTACCACTGGGTAGTTGGCGAATTTCCATTTGGACTTGTTATTTACCAAGAAAGGAACGCTAAGAGGACAATTTGTATTTCAAATTCTAGATACCTATTGCCAATACCAGGAGAGAATGGCTGCTGATGCAGAGGGGCACATTTAAGATAATTGATGCTGCTGAATGTTTTGCGGCGATTACACATGTAGATTGCTTTTGCCACAGTTAGTGGTTCAAGCTCCATAGGAAAGTTTACCCACAGAAGTTACTGGCTGAAACTTACAATGTGCGGGATCTCATGTAAAAGGGGGAGAGGAAGTTATTAACTTCAAAGGGAAATTGTTGTCATTCTTTAATACCTTTGTTGATTTTTCTTCCGAAATATATTGTGAACTAAAAGGATATGGTTCTTTTCCATCATTTTTTGCTTTCAGAATATCCTTTTCTTCTCCCTTCACACTTCATGATCCAAACAGGAACTAAATATCTGTTGCAGTAGGTCATAAGCAACATAGAAGTTACACTATTGGGATTTTGTAGGTGTCATATTTTCAAACTAATAATTAAAGCTTAATTTTTGTAAGGAAGCAGCTTCAGCTGGGGCGAAATTGATTTGTTTTCCAGAAAATTTTTCATATGTTGGTGACCTAGCTGGAGACAGTTTGAAGGTTGCTCAACCATTAGATGGACCAATTATGAAGGAGTATTGTTCTCTTGCAAGGTAAGGCCAAGAACCCTTTTTCCTTTCACTTTTCTAGTCTTTTAGGAGAAAAAGAAAAAAAATTCTAAGGATATAAGGAAACATCAAGGGAGATCCTGCTCTCCACCCTTTGAAGTAATAGTAATTTATTCTAAACGGTCTTGATTGGTTAAAACTTCCACTTTTTGGTTATTTCTCAACCCATTCAATTGGTTGTTCAAGTGAATTTTTTTTTCTTGTTATTTGGTATTATGAGCTTCCGAACTATGAAGCTAAAATTTTACTGTCTTTGTGAAGGGATTCAAATATGTGGCTGTCTCTTGGAGGATTCCAAGAAAAAGGACCTGATGATGCACATCTATGCAATGCTCATGTTTTAATTGATGATGCTGGGACTATCAGAAGTGTATTCCGGAAGATGCACCTGTAAGATCTTTGACACTATTTTTCCCCTGGTCTTACTGTTCTATTTGGGTACAACTAAATCACCAGATACTCTCATTTATGTCGATGGTATCTCAAAGACACGAGTTTATGCCAATGATATCTCAATTATCCTGTAAATTTCTTAGATCGAATATCTGAATAAGTTGTTGAACATTTGAAGATTTGACGTGGATGTCCCTGGAAGTGCAGTTTACAAGGAGAGCTGCTTTACAGAAGCTGGTATGAAATATAGCTTTATTTGTTCATAGCCATGCTATTTTCTCTATATGGTATTCCAAGAGATGGATATCTATATAGGTGCATATGTGTCTGTCTACCTGGATAACTTGTTGGCGTATATTTTATGGTCGGTGCAATTGTTCCAGATCAAACCAAATGATTATCTTGAAATTTTGTTTTTGAAGATGGATTTAAGGTATCAACTAATCAGTGAATTCAGAACCTAGCTAGGTAGATCCACAATTACCAAGTGGGTGCCAAGAATTCCAAATTACAGTACTTAATTTAGTTCATTTTCCTTCCAATAGTTGTTGCACCCCATCTCGCTCTCTCTCTCTAAAAACTGATGAGCTTTTACAGGGAAGGAGATTGTTACAGTAGATAGCCCCTTTGGACATTTAGGTCTGACAGTGTGTTATGATTTGAGATTTCCGGAGCTTTATCAGCAGTTGAGGTTCCACCATAATGCACAGGTAAAAATTCATTTTATGCACGTGGGAATAGTAGTTGTATCCTTATACAGTGATTTGCACTTTTCCCTTTGGCAGGTCTTACTGGTACCTGCTGCTTTTACAAAACCAACAGGTCAAGCACACTGGGAGATTCTTCTTCGTGCTCGTGCAATTGAAACTCAATGTTATGTATGAATGTTCTTCATCCTCCTCTAACATTTTGGTTTTCTACTATTAGTTTACTGCCAAAGGTTTTTTTTTTTAATTTATTTTTATTTTTAAGCACCATCTGTAATAGTTGATTGAACAACACTTCAGCTTGTAGTGTTTTGTTATATGCAAGTTTTATGATTTTATCGTTTTCTTAGAATTGAATAGCGAAAAACAATCTGCATTGATTTTCTTTGCGTTCATACCTCTTCAAGATAAGCCTGAAAGAGTCTAGATGTTCTCCTCTCATGGTTACTGCATATTGACATGTGCAATCTAATAAACGTCTGCCTGAAATTTTCAGCTACATGAAGTTGTTCTTTGGAAAGACATTGCATGTTTTAGTTGCTATTGATATTTACCGAAATATGTATTTTAATATGTGTGTCTAATTTTGTATTAAAACATTAGTTAATTGCAATAACTGCATGGAGGAGGGTCAACTCCAATGGATGTACAGTTATTAGTTTCTTTGAAAATCCCATGAATCCATCTTTTGACAACAGGACAAAATGCCAGGCAATGATCTTCAAAACTATGTTTGTGAATGGGTAGCTCCTACACAGACAATATGGTACCTGTGTCATAGCATTTTTGACAAGAATATTCACCCTGGATGCATATGTTATACATCTGAGACGTTCAATTTCTGGAGTTCTCTTTTATACTGGGTTTTTAACATACGTTTTATCTGATGGTATAAGCTCTCTTTCCTGATTTTATGCCACTGTTTCACAGTCATAAACATCTTACAGGTCATAGCTGCTGCGCAAGCTGGAAAGCATAATGACAAAAGAGAAAGCTATGGTGACACCTTGATAATTGATCCATGGGGAACAATAGTTGGGCGGTTGCCGGGTCTGAAATATTTTCTTCCCCTATTCAATTTCTTTGGTTTTAACTTCTTTCCCTCTGTATGGTCCTTAGTTGACTTGTTTGATTTGGATATAGGCTCACTCTGAAACAGGCAGATGGAAAGCACGATTATGTATTTTCTCTTTCTTTTTTTTCCCCCTCTGCTTATTTTTTTGTTCCCCTCCGGAAAGAAGGGTGTTTGTGTGTGTGTGGGTGGGTGGGGGGGGGGAAGGTTTGATCATATAGGGAATGAATGTACCTATCCATTGACCGTCTCCTTTTCACAGCTGGACTTGCATGGTAGATGCTGCGTCACTACTTGATAGGTTAGATTTATGGCAGTAACCTGATCAGAGAGGGGGGCTTAGAAATTTGACCACTACCTCTCTCTCCAAGGAAGTTGCTAGTCTTGTGCCTTTAAATTAATGTTTATGTCATGGTCAATATGTTCCAAGGGAAAGCTAGATCAGAGCTCCAAAACAACATATTAAATTCTCTCAATTCATTTGAGGGAGCTTTGTATGGTCAAATCACTTGTATGAGAAATAGTATTTTGCGATCGTATTAGCTGAAAGCTTCTTGCAAGAGACAATTTCAAACTTAATGACCATATTATACTGTTCAAATGCTGTTCCAGATCGTTTGTCAACTGGCATTGCTGTTGCAGATATTGACTTCTCTTTCATTGATTCAGTTAGAGCAAAAATGCCCATATGCCAGGTAACTGGAAGTTGTTTACTATGCTTTATTACTACACAAATTCATTCTTCTCCCCCTCCCCCAAAAACACCCCAATGGAAAGCCAAAAAATGGTTTTATTGATTTAAATATGTTGAATTTGCATTCCCGAATAGCAAAAACATCGTCTTACTTAGCATTTCTCATTTGACGTAACCACATATTCTTCCTCATGACCTAGTTGCATTGTAATCCTTTCAGCATCGGAAGCCCATTGAGTTCTGGAAATCTGCCTCTCTGTAGGTGAGACGCAACCGTTCTAAGCATACACTGAACTTGCACAGGCTTTGGTCCATTTGTAATGCTCGTAACGGGATGCAATTGTGCAACTGCATTGTTAGGAAGTTCATGAAGCCTTCTCCGATTCATTGTCTTTCTGCTTGTTTACTGTTACCACAACCTTTGTACCATCTGTGATCATAATGGTCTCTCTCTCTCTCTCTCTCTCTCTCTGTGCATGCGTGCATAGACATCCACTCGGCATGCGCAGCACTGCAGTCTTGTATTAGGAGGAGAGATAGCAGGAGGGAGAAATCCGGAACTTGTTATTTTGTACTTAAAAAAGCAAACTTGTTAGAGGTCCAATGCTTTGATTTACTCGTTACTATTTTGGATAGAGCGCAAATGTAACCATTTCATGAGTTGAGGTCATTTATGGCCTTTTTTTAAAAATTATTTAGTCCAAAAGTAAAATTAAGTCCATGAACGTGAAATGCTTATTACATGCGGGGCAGTTCGATTCATGTCTTTCATTTCAAAGGGGATACTCGATGGGCTTATTCCATATATCAGAGGGAACAATTTTATTTTTTCCCCTACTACAATTACATTGAAGCTCGCAAAACACTCTCTTTTGTCATTTGTCAGCCGGCCTTGTGTGCGATTTTCCTGATATGCAACCCGGGGGAAGGAATATCTATTTTAGTCGAACAAAAGAATAAAGCCAATAGCCGCGGCCCATCAATTCGGTGTTCAAAATTGAAAGGCATAAAGCAATTGCAGAAATGCTGCTTGCAATCGGGGAACTCAAGGTTGAGACCGATTTGTTTGATCAGGCTCTCTCAACCTACGGGGATGTGAGATTATTGGTACTAAAAGCCAAGGTTTTTTGTTATAAAACTACATGAATTAAAGTCTTTTGACGTGAGATTATTTATACGTCATCATTTTATTATCCTCTTTTTCATTATAATATCTCTCACTATAGATTCCATCGTATCGAATATAATAGTATGAACTCACGATCAAATCACATATTTATTTTAATAACTAGGGAGGGACAGCCCGCGCGACGCGCGGGAATTTGGTGCTTGTGATTCAAGATAATTAATAATTATTGTTTAATATTTTATAGTATGGGAACTGAAGTATGATGATTTTATCTTGTGATTTTAATAGAAAAATTATAAGTTACATAGTGAGTCAATAAAAATAATGTGCAGTAAAACATCCTTATCGTTATACTATATAAGAATCCGTTGTGATCAAAGGTTATGTTTGAATTTCAACTGCAAAGATAAGGGTAGTTTGAAAATGTAAAAATGTTTGAAGTGCAATTGAAAAATATTCAAAGGTCTCTTCTAAAACTTATCCAAGATGATAAAACATTTTAAAGTATCAATTGGACCCTTCATCTCTCGAATCTATATATATTCGTGAAAGATCCCTCAAGTAATGTTTTTGATTTCTCCCTCGACTTAAGCTCAACCTGAATTATCAAATCAAGTTTATCTATCAATCACATTGCGTCCAATCTAATCTAAAATAATTTTATTTTTTACTAACTATTTATATAATTTGGTGGGTATAATACGACTTAATCACATGTTTCTTACAGAGATAATAATGCCCAAAAATGATAGATAGATAAGAAACTTAAGTGATCGTTTTCAAAGTTTTGTAGAAACTATTCAGATTTGGAGTTTTTTGCTAGGGGCATTTCTTTATAATCTCATAAATAAGTTCAAATATGTATAATTGTTAAAGATTTAAATTGAAACTATCTTGATTATAAAAAATTGGTGCAAATAATATTTTCTAAATTTGAAATTGTAGAAAATGGTAAGTAAAATCAGAAGAAATTCCTTATATGAATTCGAATTGCAAACTATAGGTAGAAACTGCTTAATGATATTTTCCAATGTTTACTTGTATAAGTATCCAATAAAATATCTCTACTTAATTGACTCGTTTGAACTATGGATAATAGTTGCATCAATCAAATCAAGAAACATTATTTATCATTGTACAACATACAATTATGAGTAAATGAATTAATACAATGCAATCAAAATGGTGTTGTAGCTAAAACATTTAAACTCATCAAGTTCCACTACAAATTCTTTTATATAGTATAAAAAAACAAATTTTTTGTATTTGAAACTATATAAACAATATAATACAAGAACGAGATCATAACATAGAGGCAAACTATATGGAATTCTTGAATAAACCAATCATCAGAAAAAAAAAAAAACTACAATCGAAGAAAACAAATCTAAAGAACTCACCTCAATTTAAAGGAAAAACTATGTATTCCATCAAATATTTAATATCCATAATAAAATTAAAGAGGTGAAACCGAAAAAGAAAAAAGGATATCGGCTAAACATGGAGACATAAATATGATAATGATTGTTCAGATAATAATTAAGTTAATTAATTGTAATTATAATCCTGTTATGTAAACATCCAATTAATTCCTTAATGGATGAGAAAGGTTTTAGGAAATTGGAAGGCTTGGATGTTAGTATAATAAATGATTAAAAGGACTTTTATGTAATTCTATCAAAATACAAGCTTTATTCAATTGTACTTGATACTCAACTTGACACCAAACATTGTAACATACCAAACCTGCCCCTAACCTTAAATGTTTAAAAGGTTATATAAGTAATTATAGTGAAATTAAAGCTATAATGACTTATACTCAATGTTCCAATTACTCTTTAAACACTCTCATATTCCCAAAATAGCCTCACCCCTGCGGTTGAAATCTAGTCCTAAACTCGTTCTATCAAAATACAAGATTTATTCAATTGTACTTGATACTCAATTTGGCACCAAACATTGTAACATACCAAACCTGCCCCTAACCTTAAATGTCTGAAAGGTTATATAAGTAATTATAGTGAAATTAAAGTTATAATGACTTGTACTCAATGTTCCAATTATTTTTCAAACACTCTCACATTCCCAAAATAGCCTCACCCCTGCGGTTGAAATCTAATCCCAAAGTCGTTCTTATATAAATTGTACTTGATACTCAACTTGGCACCAAACATTGTAACATACCAAACCTGTCCTTAACTTTAAATGTCTGAAAGGTTATATAAGTAATTATAGTGAAATTAAAGTTATAATGACTTGTACTCAATGTTCCAATTATTTTTCAAGCACTCTCACATTCCCAAAATAGCCTCACCCCTGCGGTTGAAATCTAATCCCAAAGTCGTTCTTATATAGTATAAGGATACACAGTATATATCCCATAAAATTTAAAGCATTGAAATTGTCAAATGAGACCTACAACCAGTCTATTTATTATGTGTGTAACGGCCATGACCCATGAAACGCATCATGACTATTACTCTTCCACTGTACTCGCACTTCTACTATACTCCTACTTCACTTTGGAGATTGGGGAGGGAGTAATAAAGGGTATTACACCCCATTGTGTTTGCTTGGGTGCTTTAATGCATTGATGGAAAGATATGCATTTTAAGGCATATCTTTAACGCATTAATGGGTGCGTTAATGCATTGATGCATTTAATGCTTGGGTGCTATAGCATTTTAACGTTGTAGTAATTGATTTGCATTGATGGAAACATATGCCAGTACGCGTGCCTGTTTGAAGTCGGTTTTAGGATTCGTAAGCTTTGTGATTGCCTATCTTGTATGGCTACTTGTAAGAATTAGCCCATGCTAGATCCATCCAAGACAAGTTCTGTCCTTAGAAAGTTTCAATTAAAAGGGGGAAAAAAAAAGTTCTGTTCTTGGACTGTAAATCGTCGTTTAACATGTACTACTTGGTACTAATACGTCTACAATTGTAACTACATGTGATTTTACAAGGCCAGAGAAAAGAGGTAATTGGTGGATTAGGCATATTATCCATCCCCTTATCCCCTGGGTTTGAAGATTTTGCTGCAAGCTGGGGAGCGGTTGCTCCTGTTGGAAAGTTGGAAACCTCCCTACTGGCCCTGTGGCCTGTTTTTATTTGCCAACCATGAGAACCTGAAGGGTCCGGTTGCTTCGCAAACACACCCGTATATTTGTATGATCACTATCAGATTAACAACGTTGAAAGGCTATTTTGTCAGCAAATTCTTTCACCTCACTGATAAGATTATATGTCCCGTTGGAAGACCATTTCTGGAGGAAAACCTCGCAACATTATTGTGTTTGTGTTTTGCTTACGGGAGGTTCAGGTGCTTTTATAGGCATCACCAGCTAATGAAAGGGAAAAAAAAAGGAAATCTCAGAGGAAATCTTGAATGCATCTAGCCACAGAGAAATGCTATTCTTCGCTGCAATGAACAATTTCATGTAAGAATATTACAAGCAATTCACTCACTCTGCCTCATTTAACAACAGCTGCTGCTACCATTCCTCTCTGCCTATCTTTTAGAGCATCACAACCATAGATGTGACAAAACCACAACTAACTGGTGGATGCATTTACTTTTGATTTCACCCACTTGCGAAACAAGACAGCCAATGATACAACATTTTGCTGTGCCATATAGGATAACCTAAAAGTAAATCCCAGAGCACGAATGGTCTCCTGAGGGATACTGCCAACTATAAACTTCTCGAACTCGTTTCTCTGGTCATCATAAGAATATATTGGTATGAAATCATCACAATGCTTCCAAATATGCATATCTGTCAGCAATATCTGGCCTGTGGGGAGGTTGCCAACAAGTTGTGCACAAAATCTACCTGCACCTCGAAACTCAGGGGGTGTTGGGATGGCATGCCTATCCCAGGAACTAGAACCACGATCATCGCAATTTTCCAGTGTATAAATGGAAAAACATTCAGCTTCTGCATTTTTCCAGAAACCATAAACTAACAGAGCCAGCCGTCCCCTGAATTTCGTCGGTATCCACCAGCTTTGCCTGGACGAAAATATGGGGTGCTTGGGGGGTTCAATGAATTGGAACTTCTCCGTCTTCAGATCAAAAGAAATCAGCCCCAGCCGCTCGACCAGGCCATGCATCACCCAGTAAAGGACTCCATTACACAAGAAGCTGTCAGCCGGTAATCTTTCAGAAGACCCATCAAGCCCAATAGCCAGCTTTCTCCAAGAAGAATCGCGGCCGAGCGTCAGAATGTGGGCTTCCTGCTTAGAATTAGACTTGCTTATCTTGAGCAACTTGTAGACTTCATTGCCAGGATGGTACCCAAAGTAATAATCTTCATAAGCGGAATTGCGGAACCCACTAATTTCTGGAAGCCACACGATTTCCCGAGTACCGACACTGCAGACCATGGCACCGATACTCCCATAAGCACAAACAAGCCCATTCACCACTTTAGTGACACCCTTGAACAAATCAAAAGACGGGATTTTAACCAAACTAAGAAATGGTTGCGGACATTGAACCTGATCCTGAACTCGAAGGAGTGGCGAGTAATAGACAGCTAGACCTATAGGGTTTTCAGGAAACCACATGTCAC